TCAAAGCCTCTTCAACATTTTTTGGTTCAATCTTAGACACAAAACAAGAGTTTGTGATGATTTCTCTAGATCTTGTAGTGACTCCATTGTTAGGATCTCCTATGATGAGTTCCTTAGGATGATCTTTCTGAATTTTGATGGAAGGATCTTTGTTAGCTTCCTTTGATTCAGACTCTGATGGAGTAGGATTAGGCACATCATCCTTTTTAGACACTTGTGTTGAAGTCTCAAAGAATGTCTCAACATCATATGGGACATTTGTTTCCTCATGGTGATCATCAACTATGACATTTATAGACTCCATCATAACTTTGGTCCTGGAATTGAACACCCTATATGCTCTGCTGTTGGTAAAGTATCCTAGGAATATTCCTTCATCACTTTTAGGGTCCATATTTCTCCTTTGTTCACGATCTGTCAGAACATAGCATTTGCTTCCAAAGACATGAAAGTACTTCACTGTAGGCTTTCTTCCTTTCCATAGTTCATAAAGGGTGGATTATGTTCCCTTTCTCAAGGTGACCCTGTTGTGGACATAACAGGCTGTATTCATAGCTTCATCCTAGAAATGAATAGGAAGCTTCTTGACATGTATCATTGCTCTGGCAGATTCCTGTATAGTCCTGTTTTTCCTTTCCACAACTCCATTTTGTTGAGGAGTTATAGGTGAAGAGAACTCATGATTGATTCCTTCTGAGGAACAGAACTCATCAAACTTACTATTTTCAAATTCCTTACCATGATCACTTCTGATTCTGATAATGCATCATTCTTTTTCTCTTTGAATTCTTTTGCACAATTCTCTAAAAACATCAAATACATCAGACTTTTCCATAATGAAGTTTATCCAGGTGAATCTGGAAAAATCATCCACAACAACATAGGCATATCTCTTTCCACCAAGACTTTCCACCTGCATGGGACCCATCAGATCCATATGTAGAAGTTCTAGTGCCTTAGAGGTGGTCATATGTCTTGTCTTTGGATGTGACATTCTAGTTTGATTTCCATCCTGACATTCACCACATACTCTCCCTTCATCAATCTGAAGCCTTGGAATCCCTCTGACAACCTCCATGGATATGATCTTTTTCATCCCTCTAAGATGTAAATGACCAAGTTTTTGGTGCCACAGTTTCACTTCCTTTTCTTCTTTGGCTATAGAGCACACAAAAGAGTAGTCAGTGTTCTCAGACTCCCATAAGTAACAGTTGTCTTTTGATCTGACTCCTTTCATTACAACTTCTTGTTTTTCATTAGTTACAAGACATTCAGACTTGGTGAAGTTGACCTTGAATCCTAGATCACATAGTTGACTGATACTTATGAGATTAGCAGTCAGACCATTTACCAGCAACACTTCATTTAGGTTTGGAACTCCAGGGCAGTCCAAGTTTCCAACTCCTTTGATTTCTCCTCTAGCACCATCTCCAAAAGTGACATAACTAATAGTATGAGGTTTGACATCATTCAGCTGATTCTTGATTCCAGTCATGTGTTTAGAGTATCCACTGTCAAAGTACTAGTCTTCCTTGGCAGAAACTCTAAGGGAGGTGTGAGCTATCAGGGATGCAGTCTTTTTCTTCCACTGTTGAGTATATGGTGCCTTGTTAGTTTTAGGTTTGACATATGGGGTCTGATTAGGACATCCATATAATTTGAAGCGGAATGGCTTTATGTGACCAAACCTCCCACAATAATGACATCTCCATCTTTGATACTTTTTCTTCATATTTCTCTGTTCTTGATGTTGAGTCCTATGTTGTGACATTTGCTTTGACATTTGTTTATCAGGCCTGGTCTTCTTCTTGTCAACAGCAGATTTCTTTGCAGCAACAAAACCTAGACCAAACATGTTCCCTGCATTTTGTCCAGCCTGAAGGATTTCTTCCAACTTGTCAGTTCAATTTGTTAACATCTTGACAGACTTAGTCATCTGATTAAGTCTGGAGTTCAACATTAGAACTTCACCTTCGAGATGGCTTATAGTAGCAGTGTCTGCCTTCTTCTCAGCCTCCAACTTCACTATGAGCTTTTTCTGTTTCTCATTTTGCTGACAGACTTCAGCACTTCTGATACATAGCTTCTTGTAGGACTCAGCAAGTTCTTCAAATGTCACTTCCTCATCACTAGAATCATTATCAGAGTTACAAATACCAGATAGTGCAGTAACTAGTTTAGCAGATTCTTCTTCAGAGTTACTTTCTGAGTCACCATCAGACCAAGTAACAGACATTCCTTTCTTTTGTTTCTTTAGAAAGGTAGGACATTCAGCTCGAATGTGCCCATATCCTTCACATCCATGGCATTGGATTCCTCTGCTTTCATTTCCCTTTTCTTCAGACTTAGTTCTTCTGCTGGAGTCATAGGATCTGCTAATGTCAGAGGAAATGTTCTTGACATTTGACCTTGACTTTGGGTCCATTCTTTTGATGAGTTTGTCAAACTTCCTTCCAAGCATAGCTATAGCTTCTGAAATATTCTCTTCATCACTCTCCTTGCTTTCATCTTCAGTATTGGATACAAGGGCTATGCTCTTGTTTTTCTTGTCAACATTGTCACTGATCCCCATCTCAAATGTCTGAAGTGACCCAATGAGTTCATCAACCTTCAAGTTGCATATATCCTGAGCTTCCTCTATAGCAGTCACTTTCATTGCAAACCTTTTAGGCAAAGATCTGAGAATCTTTCTCACCAGCTTTTCTTCTGACATTTTTTCTCCCAATGCTCCTGAGGTGTTGGCAATTTCCAAGATGTTCATGTGAAACTCATGAATGGTCTCATCTTCCATCATCCTTAGATTCTCAAATTTTGTAGTGAGCATCTGAAGTCTTGACATTTTTACTTTGGATGTACCCTCATGGGTGGTTTTGAGAGTGTCTGAAACATCCTTGGCCAGTTCACATTGATGTACTAGTCTAAATATGTTTCTATCAATTCCATTATACAAGGCATTCAGTGCTTTAGAGTTACCCAGGGCTAACTCATCTTCTTCTTTGCTCCATTCTTCCTCAGGTTTCAGACTAGTTGTCCCATCTTTCCCAGTTATGGTGGGATGGTTCCATCCTTTGTCAGCAGCTCTCCAAGCTTTTTTGTCCAGTGACTTCAAGAAGGCAACCATACAAGGTTTCCAGTAGTCATAGTTTGATCCATCCAGAATAGGTGGTCTGTTCTCAAATCCTCCTTCCTTGTCCATAGCGCCAGAAAATAATATCCCTAGATCTCACCCAGAAAGATAGGCAGGGTGCCTGCTCTGATGCCAATTAAAATTTTAGCAACAGATACTTAATGTCACAGTGAATGTTATGACACCGTATCTGACAAAATGTACACACACCAAACAGTAATTTAAAATACAGTAAAGAACACAATCAATTGTTCACCCAGTTCAGTGTATAACAACACCTACTCTGGGGGCTACCAAGCCACGGAGGAAATTCAATATAAGAGATATTAATTTAGGAATAAACCAACCAGTTTATCTCCTTCACTTAAGACCTACCCAATGCAACTTCAATCTAAGTCCTACTTAAACCTGAGTTCCTACTCACTCCCCCTCAATCACAGCAGTGATACTTATCTACTGAATAATAAGATTATGAAGACATTCTTCAATACACACGCTTGATTTTTCTTCAAAGCTTTAATCAAGAGACACAACACTCGTGCTTCAAAGCTTTGAGTGATAAATAACCCTTACAACCAAATCCTACTCCAAGTCACTTATCAAGTGATAATTGCTTGGATCACAGTAGTTACTAAAACTATCACAACTATACAATGCCTTATTGATCTTCTGTAAAAATGTGCCTCACTATTAGGCTTCGTGAGAAATATATAAGCAGGCTATTCTTCAATTTAGGGCTTCCATAAAAATAGCTAGGGTTAATCAAAGTTAACCTAAAGACTTGGTCTTCGGCTTTCATCATAACAAATTAGGGTTAAGCAAAGTTAACCTAATATCCACGTCAATATACTTCAACTCAGAATAGCACACCTGATTCCTGAAAAATCTCAAGAATAATAACTCTGCACAACAACTTGATCAGTACAGGATGTCTTAACATTGGTTATGACATCATGTATCTTGCTCACTGATTTTGGTAGAATTCAGTTATATGATCATAGCTTAATCATCATGATACTGAGTTATTCCTGTAGAACATTCCTTCTGCAGAATTTGACTTTATCCCAGAATGTTATGACATTAGTCATGACATTCGCAAATCTGATTTTACCAAAAAATAATGCCAACAAGCAAACACTTACATGAATGTCCATAAGATAAAAATTGCTAATAAGGTTCCACATAAATGTAAGTTTATATTTCATAGTCTTGTAGCCTAGACTCTCACCCAAAACTTAATGACTAGAGTCTTCCTCCAAGACTAACATACTTATTTAAAGATAAAATCATTGATATGGCCTTGTGATAACAACTTGTTTCCTTTCTCATTTTCAATCTTAACGAGGCTTTATTAAACTAAATCGGTACGAGCTACTTATGTTGCAGCTTTCTTCTTTTCCAAAATCTTATCTCTAAGCAAACATTTGTTTTCATTTTGGAGACCACAACTAAGGAATGTGTATAAAAAATAAACTTGTATAAACTAATCCTTTACCAATTTATTCATGAGTGGTTAATATAATTTTAATAAGCATTATAACCATAATAATAATATAATAACTATATATAATTAGAGAGACATGTAGACTATATATGAGGACAATTAGATGTATAATTTGGGTGGCATTTGACCGAGTCTCAAGGAAAGTGTTTTGTACATGGCATATAAAACCCACATTGAGTCCTAAACATAGAAGGATATAAAAACAAAACAAAATTGTGAATCACAAAACCTAAACAAACAATTTATATGAGCTGGTATGGAAAATATCGCACTCTTCAATAATCATCATATTACACAAAAAACATGAACGTTGTTTCATACAACTCTCATTTGATTTGTTTTGTGGTTGTGCATGGTAACAATTAATTAATGGCAAGTGGTAATGGTAGTAATAGGAACCCACAATCACAAAACACATCAAGAAAGGTAATGGTGGTGGCTGATCCAACGCGTGAATCAGCCGGAGCACTTCAATATGCACTTTGTCATGCTGTAATGGAACAAGATGAATTGATTCTATTGCATGTTGTTGAGAATCAAACTTCATGGCGCAATACTCTTTCGACGTTCCTTAAAATGCCTTCGTTGGGAACATCATCGACTGCTTCGATTGACATTGGAGGAGGAGGAGGAGGAGGAGGAGGCAGTAGTAGTGGAGGTGGAAGTGGAGGTGGAGGATCTTCCGTGGAGGGACATGCCCCCGCGGTTGATTTTCTTGAAGAAATGAAAAATGTGTGTAAGATTTCTCAACCTAAAATGAAAGTTCGCGTGATGAAGGTTGAAACAGACAACGGAAAAGATAGGGCTAATACTATTCTTTTACATACCATTAATCAAGAGGTTGATGTCGTAGTTATAGGCCAGAAACGCACGCTTTCTTCTACATTATTAGGGTAAGAATATAATTCGTTTGATACTTTATTTTTTTGAAGGATTATATATTTGAATTTTGAATTTAATTGAAATGCACAGATATAAACGACCGGCGGGAGGATCTTTGAAAGGAGCGAGAATGTTAGACACGGCAGAGTATTTGATCCATAACACACCGGGCACATGCACTTGTGTTGCCGTTCAAAGAAAAGCACAAAATGGAGGATATGTTCTCAATACTAAAACTCATAGAAACTTTTGGCTTTTGGCCTAACTCAGGTTTAATTTCATGTATTCACGATTTGAATTGTATATGGCAGAAACAAATTATGAGTTTCATTATTGATAGAGATTTAACAATTTTTTGATTAATATTTTCCATGTTACAATTTGTTTTTGTAAATGGTAAAAACCATTGATATTATACTAACCAGAACTAGTTAAAAATTTGTGCATCACGCAATAAACAATCTCGATTCTTAAACTAAAATTGTTGAGCTACATTTAAAACAATCCGAACCATCTTAAAACATAAACCAAATCAAATAAGGAAATGTCCATAAAAGGCCTATCTCAAGACATATAACGATATTGTTAAAGTGAAAAAGTTAAGATAAACACTATTTCACGGATTCGAGTTCAGGATATCTCACTTTTGTCACAATTAGTATATCATATCAGCAAAAATCCTTCACTTCCAATGAGATCAATTTCCACCGCATCATTTAAAGGAAAGAATCTCTCTTCATAATCCAAACTGTTATAAGAAAACTCAGCATCAATATCATCTTCTGGAAGAAAAGCAACAACTCTACCAACACTATGAATCTTTCTATTTGTAGCCATAAAAATTTCATTTTTCCAAACACCAACGGGACGTTGTAATCTCGAAAACATACCTATAGTATGCACCTTAATCCAATACTCAATATCTTCATATTCATCACACAAAACCCATAAATCTAAACATTGTTCCATATTCTTACTTTCTGAACAAGTCATCAAAGCAACAGAAGAAGAACCTTTATAGTTATACACGGCAAGTTTCTTATAAACTTCAACGTAATCCTTAGATGAATTATTCGGCATTTCAATCTTGCTAATAACATTGTTGAATGAATTAAAAGATATAATCATTTCGTGACTAACCTTTTCATTCACCTCCATAGCTACCCAAAACAAGGTTTCTGTCACTGTCACAGTGTTCTCAGTCCAAAACAAATCTCCCTTCAAAATCAAATTTTGATCACAGCCCTTTATTTCTCTCCACACCCCTTTACTCAATGAGTATTTTTCGCCGCGAATAGCATAACTAGTCTTTGTATTTTCAAAAGAGTGAAACCTTACTATATAAAAACCATCACTTTCGTAAAAGCCTATAAGACAATTTGGTGGCAAAAGCAAAGGTTGTCTTTGTTGTTCAATGATTCTTTTGGTTTGTTTTGTGGTTGGATTCCAAAGAAAAAGGGTAGAGTATTGGTCTAAGGAATAATGAGCAATACAAAGTAAGCCATTGCATGAAGCTATGATCTTATAACCCATGTCAGAGTTTGTGACTCTTGGAATATGAAGCTCTTTGAGATGTTTTGTTTTGATATCTAGAAGAAATAGGTGGTGACCACAGACATTGTTGGTGTTGAAATGAAATCGGTCAAGGATTAGTAGTGTTTTTTTGGTTTTGGTGGAGAAAAGAAAGTGTTTTAGAGCTTCAACTACTTTTTGGATGAATGACTTTAAACGGTTAAGAAAAGTCTTCATGGAGTGTAAGATTGGTAATGAATGTTGAAAAGGGGAGGAGAGTTTTATAATTGAATTTGAATAGTTTCATTCATAGAGGATGCAATTTGGAATCCAGAGAGAGTGAGTGGCGGTTCTACTTCTAGCTCTGATAGAAGTGAAACTGTTTTTGAGAATGTTCATTGGTGGAATAATCAACTTATCTGAACTTACGCTCCTCCCTATGAATTAATGGAGTAGTAATTCACATTGTTAACCAAAATTGGAAGGTGAAAGGTGAAGTCATTTAATGTTGTCCCAATGTGATGATGTTGCATGATTTTTTTTACGAGAATGGCTTCTCCCATTTCCGAATGCATCATTTCACACTAAAACATGCCATAACTGAGATTTATTCTTTTTATTTTTATTTTTAAATCTAGATATACTTAGGTATTCACCTTATACACACGACATGTATTGATAACTACAAAACTCATTTTAAAATAAATTGTTTCAGAGATACATCTTTGTATTTATCCTATATAAAATACGGATATGTACTTTGGTATTTATCTTAGATAATAAAATTTGAATTTATTTTAAAGATACACCGGTATGTAATAAACCATGTATTATAGATATACTATTATATTAAATTTTATATAGATTAAATCATGCACTTATCAAATAATATGAAAGTGTCATGTATAAATGAATAAATTTGAAATCTATAATAAAGACAAAATTAATTACAAACGATAATAATATTCTTAATATAAATATTAAAGGGTAATTTAATATTTTTTTTATATATTCTCTTTTAAAACATGTGTGGCATTCTTATCTTTACTATTTTTGTGTATAAATAAGTGTACTAGGTTTCATTTAATACAATCAATCCTCTTTCAATCATTTGTGGCAGCTTTATAGCATTTATCATTTTCTCTCTTCTTTCTTCAATTTCATCACATTGCACCAAAAAATTGCTATCTATAGCTCTCGGTTTATTCTGAAATTCTGGGAAACACGAGTGATAATGAGCTGTGTGTTTGATTTTTGGTTCCTGATTTCTGTTGAATCTTGAACAAAAATTTGAACAGAATCATACTGATTCTGTGAGTTTGGGAAACACTGAGTGAAAATATGAGATCTGAGATTTGTGCAAGGTTTAAGATAAGTGGAGGCAGTGTTTGAACACTAAATTTTCAGTTTTGATGGCAAAAGCTGGAACAGGTGGATGATACAGATGCGTGTGTTGTTTGGTGCTCAGGATGTTCTGGATCTTGTTACTGATGGTTATATTCCAGTTGCAGCAGATGCTACTGAAGAACAAAGATCTGCAGAAAGAGCTACGAGGAAGAGGGATCAGAAAGCTCTGTTCTATATCCATCAGTGTGTGGATGAAAGTGTGTTTGAGAAGATTGTTGATTCGACGACGTCAAAAGAGGCATGGGATATACTGGTCAAATGTTATGGTGGTGACGCACCAGTAAAGAAGGTAAAGCTTCAGTCCCTGCGAAAGCAATATGAGAATCTCAACATGAAGAACAGTGAGAAAGTTTCTGAGTACATCTCCAGAATGATTCTGATCACTAATGAGATGAAAGCTTGTGGAGAAACACTTTCTGAACATGTAATCCTAGAGAAGATTCTGAGGTCACTTACTCCTCAGTTTGATTACATTGTTGTCTCTATTGAACATTCTAAAAATCTGGAAACCATGAGAATAGAAGAGTTGCAAAGCAATTTAGAAGCGCAGGAGTTACGTCTGACTGAAAGAACTTCTGAGAGGGAAGTGGAGAAAGCTCTGAAGGCTTCTTTTGTCAAGAAGGACCAGAAGCAGAATAGACGTGGTGATAAATTCCAGAAGTCAGAAACCTCAACTTTTGATGAAAAGAAATATCAGAAGGGAAAGTAAAGGTATGACAAGAAGAAGGTTCAATGTTACTACTGTAAACAGTTTGGCCATTTTGCCAGAGATTGTAGAAACAAAGGAAGGAAATCAGAAGAAGCAAATATAGCCATAGGAGATTCTGATGATGAACCTGTGTTGCTGATGGATTCTGATTCTGATGGAAAGTCTTCAGAAGATTGGTGGTATATGGACACTGGCTGTTCAAACCACTTGACTGGGAACAAACAATGGCTGATAGACTTTGACTCCAAAAGGAGAACAAAGATCAGATGTGTTGATGATAAGTATCTTAATGCAGAAGGTATGGGAAATGTCAGAGTCAGAGTGAAGAATGGAAAAAAAATTTTGATCAAAGATGTTTGGTATGTTCCCGGAATTAAAAGCAATCTGATGAGTGTGGGTCAGCTCACTGAGAAAGATTTCTCAGTGGTTATGAAAGACAACCTCTTGACGTTGTATGATTCTAATCAAAAGTTGATTATGAAGTCTGAGCAGGGAAGCAACAGAACATTCAAGGTGAATGTAGAAACAACTGAAGCATAATGTCTTAGTGCAAAAGGCGCTGAAGGTGACAGTAAGCTGTGGCACAAGAGGTTAGGGAACTTGAACTATAGAAGCTTAGGGCATCTAAGTTCTAAGAAGCTTGTACATGGCATTTCGAAGATTGTGAAGCCTCAGAAGTCATGTGAGATATGCATGAAAGGCAAGCAACTCAGATTGCCATTTGCATCAAAAGTAGCCCCCAGAGAAAAGCATGCTTTGGGAGTAGTACATTTTGATGTCTGTGGACCATTCCCAGTATCTTCACTTGGAGGAAACAAATATTTTGTGTCTTTTGTGGATGAGTTCACAAGAACGGCATGGGTAACACTCATCAAGTTTAAGCATGAAGTGTTTACTGAGTTCCAGAAGTTCAAGGTGAAGGTTGAGAAGCAGAGTGGTCAGAAGCTGAAGATTCTGAGAATGAATGGTAGAGGTGAGTATAACTCTATAGAGTTCTAGAAGTTCTGTGAGGAGAATGGAATAGAACACGAGGTTATTACTCCATATACTCCTCAGCACAATGGTCTTGCTGAAAGAAGAAACAGAACTTTGCTTGATATGACCAGAAGTATGCTGAAAGAGAAGAAGCTACCTCACATGTTATGGGGAGAAGTTGTTGCCACATCAGCATATGTTCTGAATAGGTGTCGAACAAAGAAGCTGAAGGAAATTGTTCCTTTAGAAAAGTGGACTAGAGACAAGCAAAGTGTTGGCCATCTGAGGGTGTTTGGTTCTGTATGCTACAAACATGTTCCAGAAGCTAGAAGACGGAAACTGGATGATAGAAGCAAAGTAATGTTACTGGTGAGGTACCATAGTACAGGTGCCTATAAGCTTTATTGTCCAGAAACCAACAAAGTTGAAATCATCAGAGACGTTATTGTGAAAGAGTCAGAAACGTGGGATTGGAACAAGCTTCAATTAGATTCTGGTGTAGCGGCAACACCAGAGTTAGTTTCTGAAGATTCTTTAGAAAGTTTTGAAGACGAGTCAGAGTCAGAAGATGAATGTGAAGACTCTGAAGATGAGTCGGAATCTCAGGAAGATTCTGATAGCGGATCTGATTCTAATCCAGATTCCTATGATGATCCAGAATC